GTTACTGTCTTGCAAGGTGACCTCTGAGGTACTTTTCAACTTGTCTGTCTTGGTGTCAGTGCATGCTCGATGCAGGTGCATGCTGTTGTGGTCTGCCGTTTCCTGATGTGTTACAAGAGAATGGCAAGAAAAACAGCTTGTCTCCACGTGGATTTCCTCCTGCCTTTTCTGAATCGGGGGACTGCCTCATGGTGCTGGAGTCCATGCAACGATGATTCCCTGTGCTGTGCTGTGCGGTGGGGTTGGAGAAGACCTTGCCCACCCGTGGATCTGGAAGACGTTTGAACTAGAGGGCACAAATGATGGGCTGTTTGGCTTCTTTTAGTTTCCTGAGGCATGAGTAGCAAATCTAATCTGGTCTGGTTAGAAAATAGTACAACTCATGCGAATTGAGCTGTTGATTCTAACCGGTCCCTCTTACCTTAACACAAATCCAGAGAGCTCCCCCATTTCATGGATTTAGGATGAGTTATTCCAAATATGAACCAACCCCATGACCCCGACCTTCTGATCTTTCAATTTATACTTTTGTTTTGGAAGCTTCTTCTTTCACATATACAAGTCCTTATTTACTCACCTGGTTTATGATTTATTAAGGGTCTACCATGTGCCAGGCACTGTTCTGTGTTCCTGATGTCGTGGAGCCGGCATGCAAAGTCCCCAATTATAGAATGCAATCTGATAATAAGACCTACTCCTCCAGCTTTGCCCATTCTTATTATTTCATAGCACTTGCTAAATATTTTTAAAAAGAAGTTAATGTTGCAAATACAATTCAAGCCCTCTTGTTTCTTCTCCCAGTTCTTATTGCTCAGTCTCTTTGTCACACCTTTTCTCTCCTGAGGGGTAACTGTTCTTGGCATTGGTGTTCATTTTCATGCATGCTTTTATACTACACATGTATGTACACCTAAACATTGTCCTATTTTTTTTTTGCATGTTTTTGAATTTTCTATAAGTGGTAAGTCATATGGTGGTAGCCTCTGCTGCTGACTATTCCGTCTGCATTGGTTTTAGATATGCTCATGTGAATACCTGTGGCTCTAGAGCATTCAGTATATCTGCTGTATAGTATTCCACTCAATGAATATATCACTATTTATTCACTCTCTTATTGATGGAAATGCAGGTTGTTTCCAGTTTCTGTTTTTGTTTGTCATTATAAACAGTGCTTCAATGAATGCTGTTGCACATTTCTCCATGCACCTAGGAAAACAATTTTCCTAGTAGGAGAATTGGGTGTAGGGCTATCATGTACTTGCATTCCCTAAATATTGCAAATTATTCTTCAAATCAGTTGTGCCAAACCCATGTATGTATGTACACCTAAACAATGTTCTATTGTTTAGAACATTGTTTAGGTGTACATGCATGCATGTATGTGTGTGTGTGTGTGTATATATATATATATATATATATATATAAAATCACTGTTTAGCAAAATAATTATATTTAACTATAGATTTGAGCTGTCAATTATTTGCAATTTTTGTTCATGACACAAAATGAACGTTGAGAATACCTTTTTCTATTTTCCTATGTTCCTTCCTCATAGTCCAAGTGTGGTTCTCATCTAGGGAATGACAACTTAGAATCAGACCCTAATCTCATCTCCTATTTCAGTGAGTATAGTTCAGAACAGTGACAATCCAGTCAAATATATGTGAGGAAAATAGAATTGGACACAGTGTAACTTTTACTAAAGAGAAAATAAGAGGAAAAAATATCAATATTTAAGAGGGATAACTCATTAACATATCTTTTACTTCACATACCCCAAAGAAAATTGTCTATGCTGATTGCTATTGAAGTTAAGCTGTGCACTACACATTACAAAGACAAAAACAATGTTAGAGGATTGCTCAGAGAGAATTGATCTCCCCCCACATCATCATCCTGAATTTGAATTAATTTGTGAGAAAACAAAAACAAATCAGGTCTCGGTATTATTATTATTATTATTATTATTATTATTATTTTAGTTGTAGGTGGACACAATACCTATATTTTAGTTTATTTTTATGTGGTGCTGAGGATCGAACCCAGTGCCTCATAAGTGCTTGGCAAGCGCTCTACCACTGAGCCACAACCCCAGCCCTGGGTATTCTTTTATCTCAATAATTTTTTAGTTCTTATGTTTTCCTCTCTCTTCATTTCTGTGGAGAGTGTGTGTTGCTCTTTTCCAGTGCTTCTCCCTCCAGGCTCACACGGCCACGTAGCCTGATGGCTCTGAGCATCTACTCTGCACCCAGAGTGTTCTGGGTTCAAATCTTGGCTTTTCTTCCTACTGACTAGGCAGCAATGGGCAAATCACTTGACCTCCCTGTGCTTCCGTCTCCATCATGTAAGATGGGAGTCATGATGGCCTGAATCTCACAGAATGTCCTGAGGATTAAATCAGTAACTGGTTTGTAGTACTTATGACGTGTGTGCTATGATTATAGCCCTAGAGGCATGTGCTTTTAGCCCAGAAAAGAAAAGCATAGACTATTAAAAAGTAAATATGCAATAATTAAAATAACAACACTAAATTTGCTAGAGATTTACATACACATATATACATGTGCGCGCACACACACACACACTGATCTGGGTTTTAGTTAAGGAGCAAGTGCTCATACCAAGAACTTGACTTTTGAATCTTCAAAGGCCAGTTGTAGGATGGCTTTCTCCAACACAGTCCTGGATCACAGGGCCTATGAACCCAACGATGGTTTTATGCTAAGGTCTCAGTTATCTCAATGGCGATTCATTTATTGCCTTGTCTATGCTATTACCAAGGAATTTAGATTTTATCAGAAAATCAGATCATGTTAAGTGGTCATCCAAATTAAGAGAAATGAATTAAGAAAGGAAAACTCGTCTGATGTAAGTTGACCAGTAGGTGTTCAAACCCAAACTCTGCTAAATGTTCCCCTAATTAGGAGTACTGACGTCTGCCCATCACATTCTTTGTGACTAAGCTCCACGAGGAAAGGGACTGTTCTGTCCCCAACATGCTAACACTCTGCCTAACCACAGGTAGGACCCCAGTAAATGCTTGTAAGGTGGATGGGCAGACAGATTATAGCACGAGCTCCCGAAGAACATGGCAAGCTAAATCTGCTCAAGTTGATTATTAAAATCGGGTTTAAATGACAAGGAACATTTGAAAAGGATGGGGACTCTTATACTCAAAACCTTGGATTTATTTCCAGCTTTTTTTTTTTATAAACCTTTCAACATCAACTTGTATTGCAGTCCAAAAGGCAGTTGATCATTTTACACAAGACAGAGTCCCTTATATAGATGCTGTGTGCTTATATTCCACTTCACACAGTACAAATCCTTTCACATGATGATAGAAATAATTATTGAGACCTTATTGTTATTTTTTATACATGATTATTACTCATTAAATTATTATTCACATGGAACCGTGCTAAAATAGCCTTATATGCATTGCCTCATTTATTCCTCAGGTCAACTGTGGGTTTTATGTTCCTATTTTACATGGGGACACTGAGGTGCAGGGGTGACTTTTCCAAGGTCACGCAGTCACTAGAATTTAAACCTGCCTGAGTTCACACTGCCTCCTGAGAAAGTCTGCCAAATAGGGCAGATGTAGATCGCCAACGGACGAAACTGGAAACAGGGCCCAGGCCTTGCAGGCCCAGTCCAGTTCTGGTTCAGTTCCATGTTATCCCACGTTGGCCAGAAAAATGCTCTACTTAGACTGTACCAGTTCTAGAACTATTATTTCTTCTAATTTATTTTTCTTAGATAACAAGGGAACCTCGGTGTGCTTATCATCAACAGGACACTTGATGACATGGCTTAGGTGCCTCACAATGCATCATTCATTCAGCAGACATGACTGAATACATCCCAACTCTCCCTGCTGGGGGCAAGTAGGGAGGGCTTTGCAGAGGAAAGCACATCAAAGCTCCATTCATTGGACAAAGATGCAGAGAAGCAGGTTGAGATGGACCCCCAGACCTTTAGTCTCCTCAGAATCTGCTTATGCCTATTTTACCAGCCCTGCCTGTAACCTGCATCTCCGGCTTCTCTGGAGTTGTCAACATCAGTGTCCCCTGCCTAAATGGGGGAATAATAATCAAAGCCTTCATTGCAGTTTGGAAAACCAACCAGTACTGGCTCTACTGAACTTTTCTTTAAAATCAGAAACTCTGCACCCTAAACTATTGCCAGAGTAATTGGTTGGCATGATTGGTCTTGCTTTTACTGCAAAGACCTAGGACCAATTCTTGTGTGTTGGCCACATAAATGCCATTCATCTGCACCTTATCTTAATAAAATTTTAGCTGGAACATTTTGGCTAAAGTCTTCCACTCAGGAGTTTACAGATTGTGCTAGTGAACAGGAGGGAAGGAGGACCCATTTCAGTGGTGGCAAGCCCACTTGTCTTTGATGTTGTCACCTTTGATTTTATTAGTACATGTGGTCCTAAAGAAGTTTCATCAAAATGCTGAGATTGCTTTTTGTTGACCCCCAAAAGCTATATTTTTCAGTTACTGACTCTTTGTGTTTAATTATGCCAGAGTAGATTGGTGTGATACAAATATGATCATACCTTCCATAGATCCACAAAGCTTGGCTTGTATCCACACTGGTCCAATAGTTAGGAATTACTTTCTGATCTGCCTGTTTATGAAGAGACTTCAGGGGATCTGTCCTTTGTGCCGTCCAATATAATAGTTATTAGCCAAAGGGGCTATTTACAAATTTTAAGTAAGTTAAAATTAAGTTAAATATTTAGTTTCTCAGGCTTGCGTTTCAAGTACTTGGTAGCCATGTGGCAACAGTGGCCACCATATTGGATGGCACAGTTCCAGTCTCTCCTCCCTGTCCTCTCTACCAACCGCAGAACCAGACACTTCATTACTTTTCATTCATGTTGATGCTGTTGAGGAGGAGAATAGAGGAAAGAAATGGGAAGTTGGCACGTGTACGTAATTAGCATCATGAACCCTGAGTAATTTTTTTCCCTTTCTCTTCAGGTCCTTGAGGCCACACGGGTTAATCGAAGGAAGAGCGCACTGGCCTTGCGCTGGGAGGCAGGGATCTACGCCAACCAGGAGGAAGAGGACAATGAATAAACTTCCTTCGGCCCAGGAAACGTCTTTGGTGCTTGGGATACCAAGAAACCAAGAAATGATCACATCAAAGCATTTTGATGGACTATTTATTAAAGTGCATACAAACTCAGCAATCCTTCTGTAGACCAGAAATTGCAACACACAACAATGAAGAATAAAGCAAAAAGGGGGTCCACCCGTCGAATTCTGAGACCCAGGAGTCAGAAGAAAAAGGATTTCTTTGTGACTCAAAGAAGCCTCTGGATTTGGACCAGTCCACAATTGATCCAAAAAGACAAAGACATCATAAGCAAATCAACATATTTGCTGAGGGCAGACCTTTGACCAGCCTTGGTGGGTGATGAGGACAGACACTGAGGATAAGTCCATTAGTGAGCTGTAGGGCCCAGGCTGTTGCCATCTGTGTGGCACAGGGTATTTCTCTGCTCTGGCTTCCCACCCCTTGCTCGTGGCATCCAAGGTGTTGGATTGGCACCATTTTCTCCAGCAGCCATACAACGAATGGTGTTCCTCTCTGTGGTTGCCCCAAAGAGGCAGTTAGGATAATATTTCTCTTACATTTGATTATTTTTAATTGGGAGCAATTAATGATTGCAATGTATACAATCCATATTTTTAAGACAATATATCTTCATGTTGCAGATGCAATCTCTTCTACACTAGGAGGTTGAGGAATGTGGGGTGAGAAAGCCAAACCAAATGGATTATTTTAGCTTTAGGATCTTGTCCGCTTATACTCTTGACTGATGTGTAGTTTAGAAGAACACATTTTCACAATTACGTTTCTTCACGTGAAAACTATATTTAGTGGGCAACGACTATTTTTATGATGGGATAGGGGAATATAAACATGAATAAAACCTGTACACATTGAACAGCTTGGTTCAAGATGGTAGGGGTATTTTTAGATGGCAATAATTGGGGGGAAAAAAAAGGGTCAAACTCTGCCTTAGAGAGGTAGATGGCAAGAAATAAAAGTGTTTATAACTATTTTGTATTATAAAGTGAGCCTTAGAGGTAGTAGGAAGAAGGAAGGGATGTTTGGGGTCAATAGAAAGGAAACATTAAAGTCAATGAAGGTAGGGGGAGAACGAGGGAGGAGGGAGAGGGAGAAGAAGGACATGAAAGAGATTATTTTTTGGCTGAATGCTTTTCAGGATGCTAAAGAGAAAAATATAGAAATTTTAAGTGCAGGCTTGGAATCAACTACAAATCCTAAAGATGGTGTGTGTGTGTGTGTGTGTGTGTGTACACCTTTGTGTGTTTATGTAACGAGTGTATGTTCACGGGTGTGTATATGTGTATGTGTGTGTGTGTGTGTGTGTGTGTTAAATTTCGATTGCTCACGACACCTGGGTGTACAGTTATTTCCTCCAAAGATGTTAGCCAGCATCAGGAGTGAGTGAGAATTTCTTTTTTATGAAAAGGGATATAAAGGCACCGAGCTGATGCAGTATTTGTAATATTAAATTGACCTAACATGGTATTTGCATGAATCACAATTGCAGAGTTTTGAGTAGTTTTGTAATTTGACATTTAGGAACGTATCCTATTTATTCCCATGCTTTGGATTCATGCTTAGTATACACTAGAGGATGCTAGCTTTACTCTTTTCTGTCATTTAAAGCAATATGATAAGGGCATTCAGTAATTGGGTGCCCTAAATTTCTGGATGAGAAAATAACTAACCAGTCTTCGTTATTTTTCCTTTGTTTTAAAACCATTTTTTAAAAGCAATAATTAAATTAGATCTCATTAAAATTCTTTTTTTTTTGTTTTCATATTGTTATGTCATAAGCTCTGATATGTTATTCTCATAAGTAGCAATTCCACAAAACCCGTATGTAGTGTTACACACATTATCTTTGCTTTTTTTTATCTTTGCTAGTGTTGACTTTGAGGGAAAGTTTATTCACAAATGGTGGGCATAAAGTAAAAAGATGGAACTGGCCAATAATCCCTAAAGATCCTTTCAAAGTGCCTCCGGTACCTGTCGTATGCACCCACATTCTGCAGATTGTAGCCAACCTTGCATGTGGGCATGTGGCAGTTGGGATGGTTCATTCTCCTGAATGTTCAGCCAAGTGCTAGCCATTGGGGGACACTGAACAAATAAGACCCCGGATACAGGAGTTCATTTTATAGTGGCAGAGGCTGGCATGGAGCCAGGTATTCCCAGGAAGGTGACCTCCATGTTAGAGCAGAAGTCCTGCCCCATTGGAATGGGAGCGCCCAGGAAGGAGGACCGCCGTTTGTCTAAGGATTTCTGGGCTGAGGACCGAATGGGAGGGGCGTTCTCTAAGGAGACACATCAGAGGAGCAGAGGAGGCAGCAGCACCTGTGGCCCCCAAGCACAGTGGCAGTCAGGATGGTGGCCAGTAGGCTACATTTATGGGTTGCTCAGGAAATACACTGTGCTTCCTGCTTTGGGACAGACACAGAACTCTTAGAGAGCACAGGCGTGCTGTTGACCAACTCCCCCCATTTTTCACAAGAGGGAACCATTTTCACCACTTACCTTAAGCTTTTGTTCTGTCTGGAAGGGGATCTTGTACCCACGGGTCAGCTGCCATGGAGAAGAGCTGGCGCCTGGGAGGAACGTTAGGAAGCCACCCAGTTCATGGAATCACTTTCAAGGCCAGCCACCTTGACTGAACAAGAGGCACTGGTGGCTCTAGAGCCAGGATCCCTTGGGCCACACTCCACGAATAGATGAGGAAATAAATGTGATTTCTGTGACTCTTTCTCCCAGTCACGGACCTGTTTTTACTGTGTCCCCTACATCTCCAACCTCTACTAGTTCCCCCAAATTGCCTTCCGGATGACTGCTATTTCCTTGCTCTACTCACTGACAATCCCATGACATTCCTATTAAAAATGTAAATTACGGTTCCCCTGGGTAGAGCCAGGTTTTCTCTGTGCTCTTTGGTTTTTTTTATTCATTCAAGAAACATTCCCCCTCACTGCCACCCCATGCTTTGCGCCATGGACAGAGCACTGTGCTTTGGGATTCCACATGAACCCCTGTAGCTTCCTGAAGATGGAACAGACCCCTGGAGAAAAGTCTTTCCTGTCTAATCCACCGGGAGAAAGAGGCTCAGGAAGCTCTCTGCCTCTAAGGCTCGGCCTCACCCTTCCATAGCGCACAAGCTTGTTAATGTCAACTAGAACAAATGTTGAGATTTTGCAAACTGTTAGAGCCTTCCCGGAAGTATTCCTTGCTGCAGTGTTTATGGATGTTCAGTTTCTTCCAGRGCCGACTAACCACTGACACGCCTTGGTTCTCTCATCCAGAAATTATGGAAACAGGGTCTGTCAGTGACAGAGGTTGGTTGAGTTCTACTTGGATGACAATGCAATTACCCATGCATGCTGCCCACCCTAGGCGATGACATAGAAGCAGTATCTATATCAGTGTCCACACACACACACACACACACACACACACACACACACACACACTCATAACAAGAAACACTAAAGCAGTGTTGACTCTTGTCGCTGAAGACAAACATTTTTTTTTCAAATGAAGAATGGATTTAATTAAACTATGTATTGGGAAAAAAATAGCCTAAGTATTAGAGAAGGTGACTATATCCAGTTTTAGTTACAGAATCAATTTCCTGAATTTTTAGCATTCAGTGAGCTGCCAAKTTTGATTGTGTTGCTCTTTATCCAGATGACATTTTCTTTCTTTTTTTTATTGGAGGAGGGGGAAAAAAGCAGCAATACTGTGTTTGAGAATTATACTCTGTATCTGACTTTCCTGTGTATGTTAACCACTTCGATGTTATTATCCTGCTTCGGTTTTATAGTGATTGTGAGGCATTCAATGCAAGTATACAGTTATTTTCTCATTAAAAACCCCATGTGTGTTGTGTTTTTATAAAGGATGGCTACTTGTTTAACTGAGGGGAGGTGGGAAGACTAGCCTAACCTTGAGTACATGCCTGGGCCCTTGGCCCCTGCTTCTGTTGCAGCACGTATGGGACAAAGGAATGCCATTGTAGCAGACTGTCCCCAAAGCCCCTTCTCAATATACAAGATGATCGGTGGCAATCCGACCATCTTGTATGTTTGGTGGTGCCAAAGCACCACCCGCACCCCTCCCCTTTCTCTCTCCTACTAGGAGTGAATCCGGGGGCACCCTACCACTGAACAACACCCTCAGCTCAACCCTTATTTTTTATTTTGAGACAGGGTTTCCATAAGTTGCTGTGGCTGGCCTTGAACTTGGGATCCTCCTGACTGCTGGATTTATAGGCGTGGGTTATGCGCCTGGCCACTGTATCTCTTGTAAGAACCTCATGGGGTGCACTGTTTTGGTTTCCATTTTACATGTGAGGGAACTGAGGCTCTGGTAGGTTAGTTTGTTGATGCCATGTAGCTCGTTGGTGGCAACATTTGAATTTGAACCTGGGCATCCTGACTTGAGTGTTGCTCTTAACCCTCGCACCCCAATCCCCCAGAAGCACACAATGGCACTTTCACATATGAAGCCGGAGCAGACCTGCGTGAGCTCTGGGTGGGCTGGCAACGTCTCCTCCTGCTGGCCCTCCAGGCTCAGGTTTGGTGTGAAAATTCGGAGGAGTGGAGTTTGCAGAGGAGCAGCAAAGAAGTTTCTTCCTTTGGATGAACTTTCTCTGGGCTCCTCTCTTCGGGATCATCTCTCCCTGGAGATGGTGAGAGAAGATGGCCTTGGCATTCCCACTGTTGCCAAAGAGGAATCAAATGATTGTGTGACAGAAATGCATTAAAATTAAAATTGTGGTGATGGTTGCATAACTCCAAATTGACTAAAAATCATTGAATAGTATATTGAAATGGGCAAACTGTATTATGCAAATGATACCACAATAAAGCTCCAGCCAAAAAAGAGGGGGGGCTTAAGGGAGGAGTAGGGAAATAAAGGAACCCAGAGTACGAGTTTAGGGAAAAGGGCCAAGGACTCCACGTGCCTTTAATTGGGGGGAAAAATGCCTTTCATGTCAACAGTTTATGGCCTCCAGTCCACCCACTAATAAGGAAGGAAGCGCCTCTGTGGGGCACCCTCCAGGAACCAGGGGCTATGGAGACAGTTCCAGATTTGGTGGCCTTAGGCAGAGCCAAGTCAGTCAAGGAACTGCCATGGTGGGTGGAGGCACTGGGAGCTCAGGCTGTGTCAGGCCAGTTTCCTCGACTGGTGGAGAAGGGATGCCGAGTCTGGGGTAGCCTGGATGCAAGTCTTTTGGGATTCTTACTAAGCAGGCTCTCATCACAACCCTCCCATGTCAAGGCATCAAGACTTCCCTAGGCCAGGGGCGGGTATACAAGCTTGTGGGTCTGTGATAGAGCCTCAGTGGGAAGGGTCGGGGTCTATGCCCCTTACCCCAGGTTCATCTCCATGTTTTGATGGTGGCAAGATGGCAATCATCATGGCACATGTAAGGTGATGAAGTTACCTTGGAGCACACCCCTCCCTGCACAGAACCCACACAGAATTCATAATTGGGCTGCTGGGGACACAGAGAATATGGGGAACTGAAAAGTAGAACTTGGAAGGTTCTAAACGTACAAAATGATGCCAAAGGAAAGAACAGGGTCCCAGGAGATACCTGGTGATGCCACACTGGCAATTTCTAAAAGTATCCTGCCTTCTCTGCAGGGGAGGAAGAAGAATGTTTGCACAGTGCAGATTTCTTGTACCAAGAAAAAGTTATCTCAACGCCCATTAACTGTGATAGGAGAGTTCTTGAAACTTCTGAATTCACAGAGGATGGACTCTGAACCACTGGAATAAAATTGCAAATCTCTATTTTTTTCCCTCTGCCCATGTACTTTGAGAACATTCTAACTCTTCAGTGTTCTCCAGCAGGTACCATCAATGTGTCTGTTGGGAGCAGTGGTCTTCAAATTTGAGTGGGGCCCATGTCATCTGGGAGGCTCATTACACCCAGTTGGGGCCCTTCCCCTGAATCTCTGATTCAGTGGGTCTGAAGAGCAGCCCAAGAATTTTCAACAGAGTTCCCTGGAGATGCTGCTCCCACTGGCCCAGAGAACTCATTTTGGGAATCAATGGTCCAGAGTGATTCGCAAGACATGAATAAGTGTGGTCCTACCCCGCTAATGTTTGAAAACTAGAGGGTGAAGTTGGAGATGTGGCTTGGTGGTACAGTTGCTTTCCTAGCATGCCCAAGGCCCTAGGTTCAATCCCTAACAACACACACACACACACACACACACACACACGCCTGGGAAACAGATTCATGCCACAGGTGCATATGATTCTGGGTGTTCACTCTATTTGCGGGAGTTCTGTGCGCTTGCCCAGCACATCAGTTCACCACTTCGTGGGTTTTGGTTAAGCACCACTTCAACTCCGATTATCTGGTGAGGCCCTCTGACAGGGGCTAGGCAGATTAAGGAGAAAATAGGAAAGAGAACAAAATTTACATCTGTTTGGAATTTAATTCAGGTCCAGATCAAGGGGGTTCATTTGGCCATCAGAAATTTTGATGGTGCACAGTGATGACGAAAGCATAAATTTGGATTTAACATATGGATTCGATAACAAGTTTTGAGGCCGAGCACTGAGATCTCCTGCCTCTTTGTTTAACTTTGGCTCGTGTCTTTCACAATCACCAGGTGAAGTCTATTTTCTTTCATTACAAGGTTTGGTGGTCAGCAAGAAGGCCTCAGGGCAGCTACCCCTTCTACCCTGTCCATTGTATAAGTTAGGAACTGCCTTCGGGCCAACTAAGCAGTGACAACAATAGCCCAAGCAAATAGTGACCTTTGTTTTTGAGACTGGTAGAACTGGAAGTCATCTCTTGATTAGGCCATTAGGATCAGTGGTGCATCATCTGACCACAAATCTCCACCTGTGAGAAGGTGCCCGCCAGTCTGCCATCACCTATCTCCTATATAAACCACCCCTGCAAGATGGTTCCTTAGGTAAAAAAAATCCCTGACATCTTCCACTTAGCTTAACTTAATAAAATTCGTTCATTCCCACCACTGTGCCTCTTGACTGATTGGCATTCATGGTGCAGCAAGCATACTGAGCTCGTGCAAAGTAACAGCTGGTTTGAATGGCCCAGATATTCTCAAATTTCCTCTCACTATTGGACCCATATAATTATATATTCTTCCAGACATAGAGGAATCCATGTGCTTTTACTAAAAGCCAGAGAGGTTTCAGAACCCTTTAGTGGAGGGTCACAATGTTCCAGGAACTTGCAAGGAGATATGTAGGAAGGAGCTTCTCAAGATGAAGGTGAAGGCTACAGAAGCATCTTCACCCATAGGGGAAAGTTGCTGTTCCTCAATTCTCAATTGTCTTCAAGATGCCCATCTGTGCCTGCAAGTATGAAATATGGCCACAAGGTGGCAGTGCTCCCACAGGTAAAACCCTTCCATGGTCATGGGCCCTCCTTGGGGGTTCAAGGAGGACTTTCACTTTCCACTAGACAGGAATCCATGGAGATGTATACAGAGTCCCCTCAAACACTGCAGCAAAACTACCCTGTGTACAATCCTACCTGTTGCTTCGTGCAATGTAACCTGTTGTCAAATGTGGCACTTCACTGACATTTCCATGGAAAGCCTACCATTGTGGCCAGATGGCAGGGGACACCTGCATGTTTCTACCAATAATAGCTCTCAGTGCTTAAGGGCACTTGGCGTGGATTATTTAGTTCAACTCTTAGAACATTCCTTTGAGGTTCGGGCTGTTAGTATCCTCTCCCCGTTAAATGAAGAGACTCCTGCTCAGAGAATTCGAATAATTTGCACGCGCGCGCACACACACCCACACACACACACTTGATGAAATTATCCCAGTTCTAAGTGCCCATTTATGTATTGGATAGAGTAAATCTAGATGGTCAACAAAGAGGGACAATAAATAATTCAGTGCCTGGAAAAAGCAGAAGTTTCTCTCTCCCATTACAGTCCAAGGGTAGCATTTGAGGTCTGGGTTTTAAGCACTCATTTAGAGACTTCAGCTCTCTATCCTGTTACTGCCACCCCCAAGATCTTGTTGTCATGGGCATGGCTCAGTTTTCTATACCTTAGGAATTTATAAGGTCTAGTAAGCCGTGTTACAAAAAACACAAGTGGCTCCATTTCCTGGGGCCTCAATGGCAGTGGTTTCCCTGCATCAATTAAGACAGTTGTTAACCTACTAAAGCTTGGGAAACCATAATTCCAGGAGTTTTGCTGCTTCCATAAAAGCTGTTAAAGGAACAACTCCAAGTAAGCCAAAGGAATAGGCTGTTAAGAGTTGATTGAGGGGGCTGGGATTGTGGCTCAGTGGCAGAGTACTTGCCTAGCACATGTGAGGCCCTGGGTTTGATCCTCAGCACCACATTAATAAAAGAATAAAGAAATAAAGTTATTTTTTAAAAAAGAGTTGATTGAGTTGCATGACTTCTCTCTTTGCATTTCCATACCTAGTTCACTCTTTCCTGTCGTTACGTTACAATAGCACAAACTATGGGAAGATGAATAGCTACAAGGAAAGATGGGAAGAACATAGAAGAACTACCTGATAGTCCTGGAAGGACCTTGTTATGGTTTGGATGCAAGGTGTCCCCCGAAAGCTCTCGTGAGACAATGCATGAAGCTTTGGAGGAGACATGATTGGGTTACAGCCTTCACCTAATCAGTGGATTAATCCCTTATGGGATTAACTGAGGGGTAATTGGAGGCAGGTGGAGTGTGGCTGGAGGGCGTGATTCCTTGGGGGTGTGGCTATGGGGTGCATATTTGAATCTGGCAGGTGGAGTCTCTTTCTGCTTCCCTCTGCTATACTCTTCCACCATGATGTTCTTCCTCACCTTAAGCCCCGAGGAATGAAACTGTCCATGGACTGAGACCTCTGAAACCGTGAGTCCCCAAATACAGTTTTTCTCCTTTACAATTGTTCTGGTTGGGTCTTTCAGTCACAGTAGCAAAAAAAGCTGCAGCACCACATACAAACAAAGATGTTGTGTCCGCTGAAAAACTAAAAAAAAAAAAAAACTGACTAAAACAGACCTCTAGCTGAACAGAATACCCCTAGATCTTAATGCAAGGATTCTGCACACTTCCTTGTTCCAACACCAATATCACGTGAATACTCACATTCCAC